TGAACCCTTTGTGTCTCTCTGGCAAGATGTTCTGCTCCTGAATCAGCTGGGTGGGTCTTGCCTCTAGCCTCTTTGCAGGGAGTTCTGCTGAAGCGTTCAGTGCTGGGCCTTTAGCTCGCTGGGCCTGCGCTCTAGGTCTGTTCAGGATCCCGCAGGCCCCGGGTCGTCTCACTCACTCGCCTGGCCTGCGCTCTGGGTCTGTTCAGGATCCCGCGGCCTGGGTCCTCTCACTCACTGGGCCTGCGCTCTGGGTCTGTTCAGGATCCCGCGGCCTGGGTCTTGTCACTCACTCGCTGCCGGGCCTGCACTCTGGGTCTGTTCAGGATCCCGCGGCCCTCAGTCGTCTCCTATATATCATTCTTAGTCATAGATATACATATAGATGTAAAAATTTTCACATCACGATCTTTGGTAAGATTTTCTCTGACAGGAGAAGAGAAAAGAACTGGGACTGGTGATAAAAGGAGTCTTTAGATTTATTTACACTATTTCTAGGTTGAAATAAACTTGGCACTATTAATTATTCACTTGGAGTGACTATTATGTTACACCTTTTAGCTCTGAAAATAGTTCTTTTTTTGTAGTTCTCAAAATACATACACAGATGATTCAGAGCAGGAGCCACACAGGCCACCACCTTTGTGGCCCCATCCCCACAGGGTTGCAGTGCTGAGGTAAGGTGCTAGATACACAGCCTTCTCACTTGCTCAGGGCTCATTCTCTGTACATGGGCGTTCTGAGCTGGATCCCAGAAAGAGTGCTCTCTTTATTTGAATTCTCATACTTTGGCTTATATGTTACAGTTTTGCTTCTATACCAACCCCAATCTGTGCCACATGAGTTTCCTGGCTACAAAGAGCAGCAGAGTGCAGCCAAGGCTTAGTAGCTACCTTTGACTGATTTGTTGTTGTTGTTGTTGTTGTTGTTGTTGATTTGTTTTGTTTTGGTTTTTTACTTGTTTTATCCCCTTGCTTCTGAAATTATACATTCCTTCACAAGGAAAGGTCACCTTCTACTTAATAGGTGTCCATTCTCACTGGTCCCACAGAGTGCCCACAAGAGGCCTCCCCTATGTGTGTGGCCAGTGCAGGGTGAAGTGCCTTGCTGGCCTCTAGGTCAGGCCCCGGGAAAGCAGCCTACTTCCCACTCTCTGCATGTAACTCAGGAGCACATCCACCTGGGGCAGAAACTGCCACATGCAAAGGACAGGCCACTGGAGACACATGTGGAGAGCCGTGCAGCCTCACACACACTATTATGCACAACCTCCTGCACAATTTTTTCATCTTTCTATACAATTGCTATAAAGACATGAGCCTGTTCTACACACAGGTTTGTGGGGGATCCAATGACAGTGTATACATGAACGTATGCAAACATAGAGATGGGTATTTATTACTTGTAGTGGGGCCTGGACCCTCAGCCCTGCTGCTCTGCCCAGTCTGCCTATCTGAAGGCCTCCTCTCTCTGCTGGCCTCCTCGTTGCCCTATTCCCAGTCTCCTTATCCACTTCTTTCCTCTCCTGCCGCTTTCCTCTTCCCTTTTCTTCCTCTCCCCAGTCCCAGGGGTAGTCTGACTCCTTCCTTTCAAACACAATCATACATCTGCAAGCTGTTGTCTAACACAGACTGACTGAGAAGGGCTTCCCCTTTCCTCAGCAAGGTGGGACACCTGAAATGACAGATCTTCTCTCTCATCTTTCAGGCTCAGGCCACAGCATCACCACATACATCACCCACTCATGGAGGTGGCCGCCCCCTGCCCATGCCTGTCCGCTCCACATCTGCTGGCTCCACCCCCACCCACTGCCCACAGGACTCACTGAGTGGAGTTGGGGATGACGTACAGGAAGCCTTTGCACAAGGTAAGTGTCTGGGCCTGCGTCTAACAGGGAGCCAAAGGGACTGGAAAGTATATACAAGATTCCCATTGAAATTTTTTCCACTTCCTTCCCTATGTGTTCTTGGCTTTAGATGACAGATACCTTGGTTTAAAATGTCAGATTTGTAGTATAAATGGGTTAAGTGCTGACCCCATCTCAATAAATGGGCTGGTCTCCAGCAGAGGTGTGCAGGCTTCATATGTATGCAAAGAACAGCCTCCAAGGGTCTTGTGCTCTTTCTTCTAGGTGGAGGGAAGAGCCTTGCCCTTTTCCCAACTGGGGCTTTGCCACCTCCAGAGGACTTGGGTGGAATAATCTAAAATCATACCAAGCGTAGGAGGTCCTTAGAACAAGCAAATTAGGAAGAGTGGTTTTCTCAATAGGACCTAGTTAAAACTCCACTAATTGTAGAATTGCCACAGCCATCTAAAGAGGTAGGGAAGGGCCGGCCAAATAGCTCAGTGGATTAAAGTGCCTGCAAGTGGGCACAGGGGCTGGAGGTTTAATCCCCAGGCCTGCTATGCCAGCCCTACCCCTAGGGGAAAATTGAGACAGCAATTGAGACTGGGCGTGGTGGCGGGCACGCCTGTAATCCCAGCTCTTGGGAGGCTGTAAACAGGCAGATCACTACGAGTCCAAGCTAGTAGTGAGACCCTGAACACCCTGTAGACCCTTCCCTAAAGATTAAAAAAAAAAAAAAAAAAAAAAGAGGTACGGAGCCGCAATGTTGAGTGGGGGAGGAGGCATTGAGGGGGTTGGGGGCAAGAAAGTGGGAGGTGGTGGTCTTGAAGAATAGGCCCTAAAAGATGAGAACACCTTAGTGGGAGGCTTGTTCTGGGACCCAACTTGTTTTACATTGTATGTTGGCTACTAAGCATAGACTCACAGGCTGAGCTTTCCATGTGGAGAAGACAGAGGGCATGGAAACAATCTCCTGGTGTGGGTACACAGGTGGAGCTGCCACAGCTCCATTGCTCTTAGCTGTCCTGCATCTGTGCCCAAAGCCTTGGTGGACTGAGGCATCTGCTTGGCTCTCTCTTCTCCATGCCCCACCCTGCATTGCCATCTGCTCTGACTCCCCTCAGGTACAAGGAGAAACCTCCATAATGACCTGCTGGTGGCCGCTGACTCCATCACCAACACCATGTCATCCCTGGTAAAGGAGCTCCATTCAGGTGATGCTCAGAGCTCCCCGCCAGCCTCCCACCTCCCCTTGTGTCTGCCCTCCTCTGCATCCTGGTGGCATATCACTGTCTGGCACATGCCCTCTCGTTTTACCTCCTAGGAGCAGGTGGGCCCTCCACCAAGCGTGCCTTCTTCCCATATGTGATCAAAGAGGGGCAGTTACATATTTAGATTTATCTGGCAGATCAATCTGGTGGAAGAAACACAGTTCTGAATTTAAAGAAATTCAGATCTTCAGTGCTTCCAGGCCTTGACCTGACCCCCTCACCCCCTGCCTGCACTTAGTCCACAGTGGCTCTTTCCTCAGGCCTGACCGCCATCCCATTTGGAAGCTTTCCTGGATGTTAGCCACTATATCAGCCTCTAGTGCTGGGCTTCTCCCAGCTATCCTTATGCTTTCTCCTTTTGATTTGCTTTTGAAACAGTATCCCCTCTCCTGTTGCTTATAACCAGGCTCTGATTTCACCTTTGGGATCTGCTACTTCATTTACTCCTTCCATCCAATGTTATCTGTCTCCACCTCTCAGCCACTACAGTGACTCCCAGAGACCTCTGCCTTATAGCATTTCTCCCTCACATAAAACCCAGGAAAAAGAAAATTAAGAAGCCCTTCACATATCATCATACCTCCATCAGAAGTAGAACCACCTGATACTTACACAGTGTTTCCAGTGGTGGGATTCCCATGTGACATGTTATGCAAGTGAGCTCCCTTCCCAATCTCAGCAGATCCCTCACACTGAGGGATCTCTCAGTCCCTTTTTACCTAACATAGTGTTTGTAAGTGCCTTGCAGGAGCTTCTGGGGTTATTAAAAATACAGAGCAGCTGGGGAGATAGCTCAGCGGCTTAAATGCCTGCCTGGCAAGCACAAGGTTTGATCCCCGGTACTGCATAAATACATACATACATACATACATACATACATACATAGCATTTTCTCCATTAAGATACTTGATAGAGAAGGTGATCTCTGATATTTTTCAGTAGGGGAACATATCTACCATTAGAGTTTTCATGGGACCAAAACAAGGTCTCTGCTCTTAGACCTGTTCTCCTTCAGAAGAAAACATGCATGTGATCTGGTGGGTCTTTCCAAAGCAAGTCAAATGCTGATTGTCTTGCTTCAGGGGCTATATGATGCCCCTCTCCCCACCATGTCCTATTCATTAACCCCACAGAAGCACAGCCCCCTTACATACACATGTACATGTGCACACACACTGAAGAGCTAGTGGCCTTCAGCGATGACTTCACAGCTGATTAGCAGATTTCCTCCCTGATCTGTCTCCCTCAGTCTGGAAATTCCACTCTTCAAGGGAATTTCCCAGGGGATTTTAGCCATGAAGATGAACTGCATTTGTGCCTCATGGCCATTTGTTACCATTTATGCAAAATCAGTGGCTTCTGAGCTCCTTCAACTAGAATGAAAGTATGACGTAACTGCTAGTAGTTGTAAATCAGTAAATAGCATGTAGAAACTAAATAACTTCAAAAAAGTAAGCATCTATAGGAATACTAAATAATCTGTCATAGTAGGAAGGGTAGTTTTAACAAAATTATGTAGTGTCATTTGAAGAGTGCCTTAGACATCTGCTGTTCAGTCCTCTTATGATAGAAATATGATCAGTAATTATCAGAAAAATGGTTTGCCTGGGGTTGTGCCACTTTGGTTTTTTGTTTGTTTGGTTTTTTGTCAGAACTGGGGATTGAACTCAGGCCCTTGTACTTGCCAGGGAAGCGCTTATTCTACTGAGCCATCTCCCCTGTCCCTGTTGTGCCACTTTGGGGGACACAGCTGGCCTGTAGAACTTAGGTCATCAGAACATGAGCCAGTGCTCTTGCCCTACCCATGACAAGAAGTCAGACCCAGGGTTCTGTGAGGCCTGTTTTCCTTGACAGGCTTTACTCCTGAACACTGAAGCCCATGGTAGATGTAGGCTAAATCCACATGTACTCCATCCCTCCAAAACAAAGAAATAAATTCTGTTTACATGTGAAGATGCCCAGTTCTCAGTGAATGGAATAGCCTTGCCCAGGACCAACACATATTTACCATCTCCTTGATCAGTTTCAGAAGGTTTTGTTAGGTTGAGAACAGATACTCAGATTGTCTTTTCTTTTTCTCTGTACATCTCACGTATCTCCATAACTTACCTTTCTCATCTTTTAAAAACATTTTTAGAAATTAAGGAATCAGGCCAGGTATGATGGCACACACCTTTAACCACAGCACTCTACAGGCTGAGGCAGAAGGATTGACATAAGTTTGAGGGCAGCCTGTACTACTTAAAGTTCAAGGTCAGCCTGAACTACATAGCAAGACTCTGTTTAAGAAAATAAATAAATAAATAAATAAATAAATAAATAGGTAAAATATAATATATTCATAGAGTTCAAAGGGTTTTAGAGGTCATTTACTCTAACTTCCACCCGAAGTAAAAATCTTCTGAAAAGTTGAGTGTAGTGATGCATGCCTATAATCCCAGCTACTTAGGAGGCTAAGGCAAGAGATTCAAAAGTTTAAGGCCAGCCTGGGCAATTTTTAACTTATCAAGATCCTGTCTCAAAAATTACAAAAATAGGGGCCAGGGAAATGGCTCCGTAGAATAAGTGCTTCCCTGGCAAGTACAAGGGCCTGAGTTCAATCCCTGGTGCCCCCCCCAAAAAGAAACAATTACAAAAATAGGGGCCAGGGAGATGGCTCAGTGGAATACGCGCTTCCCTGGCAAGTGCAAGGGCCTAAGTTCAATCCCTAGTTCTGCAAAAAAATAAAAATAAAAATAAATAGGGCTGGGATATAGCTCAGTGGTAGAGACCTTGCCAAGTATGCATGAGGCCATGAGTCTAATCCCCAGTTTTGAGGTTGGGGATTTGCTTTAATATTTCCAGTGAGCTCATGCATGATCAGCTCTAATCACTGGAAAGCCCTTCCATAGTTAGGAGCCAAAATCTACCTTATTATAGCTGATTCATTTTTTCTGCCCATCTAAAATTCCATAGTCAGTTCAGTCCTTCCTTTGCAGGTCACCTTTCAAGTATTTAATGGCAGATAGCATGGTACTTCCCACATCTTTAGATGATATTAAGTCCCTTTAGTCACCCTGAATGACATGATTTTCACTTTACCATCTTGTTTGACCACACCAGATGTGACCCAGATTTCCAAGACCCTAATTAAAGTGAACACCTTGGTCTGAGTACATTGCTCCATATTACAGAGGGGCTTGTCCTGCAGAGCACAGGGGGTCTATGAGTGTCCATTAGTGGGGCCCTGGAAAACAACCTTACTCTGCATTAATTTTGGTTTACAGAGCCACTTTGCACTGTATAGTCATTTTAAGCCTGTGGTTAATTAAAATTTCCTTTTCTCTTTTCTTCTTTTTTCTCTGAGAAGTCAGTATTAATCGAGGCATTCCTCCATGTGCATCTTCCCTGAACCTGAATGCAAGATATGAGGTGTATCCCCACACACACACACACCTCCTCCCCCCTGCAACATACAGCTGTCTCACAGGGATATACCTAGTATCTGTCCTTGGTAGATGGTCATGATCCTAGGGAAAATAGCTGCTGCCTCACACCCAGTGAAGTCAGCAGCATGGTGAACAGCAGAGTGGTGCTCTGCTTCTTACAAGATCCTACTACATAGTGCTGGGATACAGATTTCACAAGGGGTAGAGAAGACAAGTTTAGGGCCTATGGAGTCCTGCAATCTTGAGCCTGTAGCCCGGGTACCATTCAAACCTCCTGAGTTACCCATGAACCCTTCTTCCATGCCTGTACTGGGCCAGAGGGTCACTGGCCTCCTTGAACTTGTTTTCACAGCAGAGGATGTTGCAGAGAAAGAAGAAGAAGAGATGATGCAGAATGGGAAAGACAGAGGTAAAGGGAGCCCAGCAGGACTCTAGTGTGAATAGGGAGCCTGAGCTCTAAAGCCTGTGAGCATCATGCTCCTATTTCTCCCCTCCTGCCTCCCATGGTCTGCCTTCCTCAAAACCTTCAGGTCCCCAAGTGTTTCCTTTTTTTTTTTTTTTTTTTAAGGATGGGGAATCAAACTCAGGACCTTATGCCGCTGAGCTATATTCCCCAGCCCTCCCTGGGTCTACCTACTTTCCTAGCTGACAGTTTAGTTTTACCTACAATAATGATATAGGTTGATCACCAGAAGTTTCCTGGTTTCCTAAAACTGAGGTAGATGGTTGGGATACAGGAAGTAGACACAAGCAAAACAAAACATGATCTCTTGCCTCAAGGAGCTTGTAATCTAATTAGGAAAGCAAGACTAGATATGCAAAACAAATAAGAGATTAAAATGGAGCAACAGAAAAAGTTAATCACAAAACTGAATTATAATAAGGGTTTCTGGAAAGGAAGAAAGCATGTGTTTAGTATTAGTGTAGGTTGGAATAACCAAATGGTTTTGTGACTTCCTGGAAGAACAGAAACAAGAATGAAAGCTGTCAGCAAGGACAGTAATGCTTTTCTACTTTCACTATCCATAAAACCTATCTAATGCTTGTATGTGGGAGTGCTATGGTAAATGGTTTCCTTTCATAATCTCATTTAACCCTTTGTCATGCTGTAAGATACAGCCCTTTTGGCACTGAGGAGATAGGCTCTGAGAGATTCCACATATGTCACTATTGAATAGTGCTGACTGGGCTTGAACTGGGTCTGACTCCAGACTTCATGGGCTTAATCGTTATCCTTCAAACTTACGCTAAACAGGTCAGAAAATTCTCTTGGTGCAGGTAGAAATTAGCTTCTTACGTCTATCATATTTATAATATACCTGTTGCTAAATTTCTCCAGAACGTAGGCCACGCAATGCAAATTTTAGTCTGTTGTTTTGGCTGTTCCCTGTGCATAGGGGCCAGGGAGATGCCTCAGTAGAATAAGCACTTTCCTGGCAAGTGCCAAGGGCCTGAGTTCCTGTGCCTAGAACAGTGTCTGGCACTTAGTAGGATCTCAGCAAATAAACCATCTAAGGAAATCAATACAGTGATGGGGTAGGGAGAGGCATGGGTAAAGTAGCCAATCAGCCTGAAAAGTGAAGGCAGGAGAGGCGGAGCAGTGAGGTACCATGCCAACTCTCAGGTTTTTTCCCTGGCTTCATAAACCCCTGAGAGAGGCATCTAGACAGAGCTCGGGTGAGATCACTGCATGGGTCCCAAACGGCACAACCTGGATTCTCTGGGACTCTCCAACTCCAACCCCCATGCTGTAGTTGGAGCAGAATGAATGGGCTAAGTGAAAGAAAGAATCTCAGGCAGGGTGGAAAGCATGAGGTGGAAGATACAGGCAAGAGGCTATGGTGGGAAGGTAGCCTTGGCATGGTGGTTCTGGAGTGTGGTATGCCCTAAGGGGCTGGTGTACATGAAAGAGGGAGGTCTTTGGAAGCATAGGGGGCAAAGAGTTTGTCAGCAAGGGTGCTGAAATTGCCAAGGAGGCACCAAGGGAAGAGAAACATCCTGCCAGTGCTGAAGTCATCCCATGAATCAGAGTGAGGCCTTAGAGAAGCAGGACAGTGGCTGAATCAGGCTGTTCAAATGGCACATTGGGCCACATGGCAGACAGGAGCAGAGCAGCAGGTCAGGCGCCTAGAATGCAGAGATCTCCTCTCTTGATGGCAGGACAAGAGAGGAAGCGGGGAGACAACTAAATTCCCCTGTATGTAAACACAGGCCCCAAACACTCCCACATGCATACTGCAGCCAAACCCCAGGAGTGTTCTCAGCTGAAGATGTAACCACTGCTGCCTTGGCCTCCCTTCCCCTGTGCCCTCCCTGCTCCAGGAGCTTTTCTCAAACCTCTCTCCTCCACTTTCCTGCATGTCCCCAAAAAGAAGCCAAGGGCTCTGCTGAAGCCAGTGAGGCCTTGTCCCGCCCATAGTTGCCAGCTGTGAGTCCTGGCTTGAGGCAGAATATAGGCCTCATCTCCCTGAAAAATTGGAATGGTTTCCCTTGGCAGAAACCTCCTGGCTGAGGAGCCTTCTAAAAGTCTTTGACCTTACTTTGCTTCCCTGATAGCATCTCTTCAGTTTTTCTGTGCTGCTTGCTCTTAGAGTTCCTGTATGTGTAAAACTTTTTTGAGAGTGCCTGAACTTCTATTTCTGTGGCTTTTAGGTGTCTTCTCTGACAGTAAGAGTGTTAGAGTTGGGGTGAGAGGTGGGCAGGATTATTTTAAATATCTGATTGTCAGGTCTCTATATTGTACTAGTATTAGGAACTACAGTGTAGCCCTTGTGTGGACATTACCACAAGACTACATGGTGGCCTCTTGGTTCTCTCCTACCACCTAGGCCTAAGTTTACTGTGGACTGACACAGCACTAACTGCGTCACCCGGGTCACCTGAGCCCAGTAAATACCGACCATAAAGAGCAAAAAGGGGGAGAATGTTTGCTTTCCATGGGTTGAAACTGTGCTGACATAATATAAGCACAACTTGGTCTGCACCTATCCACAGTCTGCTTGATACAAATGCTATGAGAGCAAGAGCCACATATGTATTGCCCCTAGGTAGCTTGTGCCTATTCCTCTTTAGCCCTGGCTCTGTCCGGCTCCACTCTGAAGAACACTCTGTCCCACTAGGTACTCTTCCTACTATGTATTCCCCTGTCACTTCCATTCCAAGTGTATCCAAGACTACACAATTGAGGCACAAACTAGGTTCCTTCCCCCTGTATTGCCTCAGCCACCCTGGAACTATGTTTTATGCTCCTGTGTGCCTCTCATTACTGCCTTCCTGGGATTGGGAGCTGTCAGTCCAGTTTGTACACCAAGGGAGCCCTGGCATTGTTCACATGGTCTGCACAGTAGTGAGCCTTGGAGGACAGGCACAGGCTCTAAGGCCTGGGTTGTGTTTGCCCTCGCATGGTGAGCAGGATTGTGCCAGGCATCCCAGAACAGAGTATGCAGGAGGAAAGGGTGCCTAGTCAGACTGCTTGCTTTCAGAACCAGATGTACTCCCCCAGCCCTTTTTAACGTAGTTTTGTTCCCATATTTATTATTTACTTCTACAAAATGTTTGCCTCATTGCTGCCTTATGTTGGGTGCAGTTGCTGATTGTAGAAAATAATATCTTGTCAGGGAAAATCAACAAAGGAGAGAAGGAGTCCAGAAACACCTGGGCTGGGGGTGGGGGGTCAGGAAAGCCCCTAGAGAAGACCCAGGAAGTTGAAAAGAGCCTGAGTGTGACCTCAGTGTCATTTCTGCTGCCACAGGTTAACAGAGGAGCCCAAGCACACAGGAACTCGGGTGAGTACAGAGTATGGCCTCCGCCTTCCCCTAGCCTCTCTCCCTTCTTGTGTAGTATCTTCATTTGTCCATCTCCTCAGTGAGAAGTCTAACCCACAGCAGTCCTAACAGACCAAGATGCAATTAAGATTTTTCTGGAAAAGTCCACCTGCACCTTTCCCTGCCCCCAGGCCTACCAGTGAGCCTGTTCCACTCTGCTCACGCCTGTGGCCTTGTATATGCAGCCCATCCATGGTGCAGGCCCATTTTGGTCACTGACACACTGGCTACAGCAGGATGGCCAAGCAGGTGACAGAGGGCTAGCCAAAAACAGCCACCTTTCCATGCCACCTCTGCATCTGGTGCTCCTGTTTCTCACAGCTGCTGACCATACCACAGCCAAAGTGCACCTGGGATCTTGTCACCCTGAGCTATCTACCACTGTCCCTCTGACCCACAGACACATGCTGGAGCCATGTGAGATCACACTGACTATAAAGTGGACAGACCAGCTTCTGAGGGGCCCAACTGAGCTGCAACTTCTCCCTCCCCCCACAGATTAGCTGTCCCCATAGGCAGATACTGCCTTGAGCAGTGTTCTTATTTTCCATCTCAAGACCTCCACTTGCTCTGCTCTAAGACAGTACAGTTTCTGATTTGCTGTCTAAAAGGAGGGGACAAGCTGGGTGTGGTGGTACGCTCCTATACTCCCAGCATTTGAGAGGCTGATATAGGAAGATCACTAGGAATTTGAATCCAGCTTGGACTACATAGATTTCATGGTGAGCCTGAACTACAAAATGAGACCGTCTCAAAAAACTGAAATAATAACCAAAATCTCAGTACTCAAGAGGGAGGTAGGAGGATCACTCTTATTTGAGGCCAGCCTGGGCTACATAGTGAGCTCAAATCCAGCCTGAACCATATAGGGAGACCCTGTCTCAAAAAACAAAAGTGTAAGGGACAGCCAGCGTGTTCTGGAGCAAAGCCCCCTCAAGTAGAATAGCCATGAGACAGCTTTTTATTTCTAGATCATTTCTGTGCCAACCCCCCAACCCTCTCACCTTTTCAGTCAGGTATCGCTGTGTAGCTGGCCTTGAACTCAAATCAGTCTTCCTGCCTCAGCCTCTCAAGTGCTAAGATTATAGGTATATGCCACCATGCCCAGCCCCTTCCCCCCTTATTTTCAAAAGGCATCTTCAGTTATAGATTTTGAGACAAAAAGCCAGGGCCACAATCCAGTGATCCTTTCCAAGTAGTGTCTGCTAGAACTGCCAGAACTGCAGAGGAGATGGGCCACATGGTACTGACATCTCCCAACCCTGTCCCTCTTCCCTGGGGAGAAGGGCTCTGGCAGCCCTTTGTGTCAGTCACTGTGGGTCACTGTGTGCACTGTCAGGGTAGAGAGAAGGCGCTGCCTATAAAGCATGAGTCTCCTGACAAAGTGTGTGGGAAAATACTAGGTGGTGGGGCGCACAGCAGCAAGAGGGAGGGGTTGGAATGGTTAGAACAGGCCTGAGGCTTCCTCCTGGTGTTCACTTTTTCAGCCTCAGTTCTCACCACATTTCCAGCCTGGCATTGCAAACCCAGTTGGTCCTTCTGTGGAAATGCTTCCTGATCTGTGACAAGCCATGACCACAGAAGACCCCAGACCCACCAGAAGGGAGAACACCCTCCCCTTCAAGCCACCCCTGGGAAGGCTGGTCTTGCAGCCCCTCAGCAACAGATCCAGACCTCAGATGGAGGCTCACAGCAGCTGTCAGCAGCACCTGGAGCCCATGGCGCTGCCGCCGTGACTAACACAGAGCTGTCTTGTACAGGCACAGAGGACGTGGAGTGAGCTGGCACCAACATGATGAAGGCAGCGTCTTCCCCCTGAGGCGCATTCCCAGCCATCTCTCTGCTGCACACCTGGACTGGCTTGCAGGCCCCTAGACCTCACTCCCTTGCCAGGGAGCGGGAGGGACTGCCTGGAAGGAGGGTGCCGCTGTGGCAGGATCTTCCCTTGCCTCCCCCTGCATGTCCTAGCATCTTCATTACTCCCTTCGGGGCATGGTTTCATCTCCAAAACAGGAATTTACAAGGAGGCTGAAAGAGAAAAGAAAATGCGCTAAGCCCTGTGTGTCTATGACCTGTGGGTCTCCTGGCATCCAGCCAGAACATGGCATGGTGCCTAGCTCAGGAGCACGTTTCCTCCTTACCTTTGACCTTTAAAAACTAACAGGTCTTTGGTTTAGGCAAAGAAAGCTGCAGGCCTCCTCACTTGTATAGTCATTCACACCCACCGCCACTGTGCTAAAAATAGCCTCCTTCCTTTCAGTCAACTGGTGATGCTTCCGGCACTGCTGGGAGGCGGGACACAGCACTAGGGGCCTCCCCCCCAGGTACTGCATGGAGCAGCCTTGGCCCTTGGGGTTCCTATAGGTGGGGCACACATGATCAAGTCTAAATCCTTGTGAGATTTTTTTTTTTTTTCCTTCTGTTCCCTAGGCTCCAGGATGTTATTTTTACTAAAAGAGCTGCCATAAATATTTATAAAGGGCAGTGACAAGAGTGAAGTGAGAAGCACCATTGCTGGCTCTCCCACACCCTCCACGCACAGCTGCAGACCTTTCCCCTGTGAGGTGTGCAGGGCCACTGAGCTTTACGTGGGGCCTCACATAGCATCCCTGGAGCCCTGGACAAGAAGACAGAGTAGCACAGAAGGCAGATGTTACAGCCTTCCCTTCTTGGTTACCCCATATCTGAGGGAGGTCAAGGCCACAGTTGTGGAATGTCTAGACCTAGGGTCTGGGTTAGAAAGTGGATCTGGAATTGCTGTAGCTCTGTGAGGGCAAGAAAAGATGTCAACAGCAGCCAACCTCTGTTTTGCTGTGGAAAGGGCAGTTCCAGGGGGGCTTCTGGTAAAAGCCTTCCTCACCCACATGCAGAGAGGAAGAGGAGCTGAGTACCTGGAGAGCCAGCAGGGACTTGGGAAAAGTAAAGAAGCAGTGGGAAAGGCTGTCATACACATAGGAAGTGGGCTCTTAGCTTGCCTGGGGTACCAGGGAGTACAAGGGTAAGCATAACCACCATCTGGAAAGTTCTGGGGTCTCTCAGTGTCCACCTCAGAGACTTAGGTGAGATTAGATATGAGGGCGTGAGTCTTAGATGACACAGTTGGGTGACTGCTTCAGACACACACACCTGCCTGACTTCTTATGCTTTGTAACCTTTGCCTGAGAACAAAGCAGAATTGTACCTCCTGATTGTCATATAAGCTACTTCCTTCTTCCAGAACAGAAAGCACCAACAGCTCTTTGGTCTCCAAAGCAGCCAAGTGCTTGGAGTAGCTGAGGTGTGTGTAGCATACAGACAGCATCTCCTGGTCTCTGAGTGGCCACTGTGTATCTGGGGGCTCCCTTGGCTGCAGGGCCAGTGACCATCTAGCATGCTCCCTTGCTCTCTGCCTGTCTCTGGGGTGAAATGTGTTCCCCCAGCAGAGAAGCCACTGGTGCTGACCAGCACCTGGAAGGTATCAGTGGAGGAATGGAGGGGGCCACAGGGGTGACTGATGCCAGCATTCAGGACATGGTACCTGCCTTTGGTTTAGAGCTAACATAGCCATTATCACATATTACTCCAGACTGCCTCACAACTTGAGATCTACTTTCAGAGCAAGATCCAACCAAAAGTTTGAAATTGGGTCCCTTTCAGGAGGTGGTCATACTATAGCATGCATCTTCTTAACCAGTGTGGCTATTTAGGGCCCCAGTTTAGCCTAGGTAAAAAAAAAAAAAAAAATCTTGAGAGATATGCACTGTCTGCATCCCCAGGCCCATGGGAGCATCAGGCTGTGCCACACCACTATAACCTGGGTTGTTGCTGGTTTATAGCTCTGAAGACCCCTGGAGATGAGCCAGATGCATGAGCAACAGCAAGAGCCATCCAGTTTTCATCGCCACTTCATCTGGTTGTGCTTCATCCATTGGCAGACTTCTGCACTGCTTCCTCTATGCTCTTAGTGTCCCACAGACTCTAAAAGACCCAGTTGCTATGGCAATGCCTAGAGCTATCTGAATTCCTGCTGCACCTCTTAAAAGAGAAGAGCTTAGGAAGAGCCACTGGTAGATTTCAAGTCTAGGCTTAGGGGTCATTTGCTTGGTTAAGGCTGGAGTATGGGAAGTCGGTGGCATTCCACACTTGGGAAGATATTGTGTAACTGCAAGACACTCACCTCGGGACAAATTTTCTGTGTGTGGGTCAGAAACTAAATGAGGTTTTCTACTGGGGACTCCTAGGTAATATACTAGCCCAGCTGTTCTCAAACTTGAGCATTCATCAGAGTCCTCAGGGGGTCTTGTTAAAATAGAGATAGCGTGATCACCTCCAGAATTTCTGAGTTAGTAGCTCGGCTGGAGCCAGAGAATTTGTAGTTCTAGCAAACTCCCAGGTGCTCACAGTCTGGGGACCACACTGGGTGCCCATTTGTACTATACCTCTGCAAGATGGGAAAATGTATATCTGTATAGGAAGCCATTGCTAGCCAGGCAAAAGGCCAGAATCAGTTCTCTTCCAGAGAAGGAAAAGGGGGGTGAGTGACAGTCCCCTTGGCTGAGAACTCCGGGAATGTGTGCTGGGCCTAATGGCCCCTAGACTGGGTTTCTTTTTGATCTCCAATGAGCAGTATGTAGAGACCTTCTCAGGCATGAAGATGAGGGAATGCAACATGAAGGCAAAGCCCTCAAGTTATGTAGACCAGCACCAGAGGTTCTCAGGTCCTGGGTGAGGCAATTAATCAGTCTTCAGTCTCAGAGGTGGAGGCCACTAATGGTCTGCCTCAAGGGGGATAACAGGAAGGAGCGCTTCACAGGCACCTTAACCTCACCAGATCTTTTGTTCAACATGCTTCTCCACATGCAGGTACCATCTTCCATACTAAATATTATTCAGATTCCATCTCCCAAGGGCATTATTCTAGGGGAGAGAGGGAGAATGAAAAGGGAAGAAGAAAAGAAACAGAACTCTGCTTCAGGCCCACCTGAAGGTCCAGAGATTCTGAGGCCTTCCCTGCACACTGAGCTCAGCCTGGGAAAGCTCCTTGCAGGGCGGGTCTACAAGCAGGGAGTACACAGACACTATCTCCCCTTTGTCTCGTACTCTTGGAGGGAGAGCTGAAGTAGTGTCATAACAAAAGAAGTGGATACCAAATACATTTATCAGTTCCAGAAGGTAATATTAATTACCAGTTCTGTGAAGCTTTGGACAGGTAGTGAGTGCTTTCATTCTGAGAACCAGAGAGGCTGATGGAAGCTCCAGCTTGAGAGAGGCATGGAGAGCCTTTGAAGAAGCCAACATCCTGGTATATCTGAGAACAGGAGAGATGAAGCTGTCACCTTTAGGATTCTGAATGATCACTGAGTATGTACTAGACAATAAATCCTCCAGTCTTCAGGTCATCCTCCACCCAGGTTAAGATTTCAGTGCGGTCTGAATTTTGTGTCTGCATGTGAGGGGTGGGCTTTGCAGAGCTAGACTGACCACAGACTCAGGATACTGGGTACAAAACTAGACTACTTCAGGAAAGGAAAGGGCATAGCCACAACTCCCTGGGACCTTGTCTTTTTGCTTATCTTTCATAATCGATGATAGCCTGGATCTACTGAAGCCCAGCAAAGGAGGTCAACCAAGTTATAGAGAACCCTCCAGCCATGCCATACTCATTGGAGTTCATGGGCTTGGGCATGGGGGTCCTCTGCAGGGTGTTTCAGCCACAGATGCTGTGGTTTCCCTGAGAAGAGCAAAGGCATTAGATTCAGCACCTGACTCACTGGATGGAGCATCCACCCTACTATGCCCAAAAGCCATATATACACACTGGCTTTTCCTTCTGGTTCCAATTCTTGAGCCATGCTGGCTCCATTGCCAGGACTTAGTCCCAAGCTCTTAGTCTCTTTCCCTCCCCACCAGAAGAGCCATCCCTGTATACGAGGTATTCACTGCCTTAGAGAAGAGAATCCAATCTAAGCCTGGGTCTGGAGCCTCTAGAAGACCTCCGCACAGCTCCCCAAATCCTAGGCCTAAGACCCACTCCCTGTACTCCCCTCACACAAAGCAGGACTGGCTCCTCTTATTCCTCTGGGAGTGATGAGTCCTGGGTCTCACTGGCTGGCAAGCTGTGGAGAGCTAGCAGCCCCCTTCTCAGCCCTGACTTTCCCACCTTGCCTCTCGGGGGCTGAGGATGGGCTGGTCTTTTAGAAGAGGGAAATGCCTGTGAGGCCCCCTCACAGGTTGCAGAGGGCCCTGTATGTCTACCACCTAGTCCCTACAGAGCTTTGATGAGTCAGAACTGAGTGAGAAAGCTCTACAACTTAACCCAGAACAGGAGCCTGGCTCATATTGGCAGTGAGGGAGCCAGTGGGACCCCAGTCCCTCTTCCATGAGTCCCTGTTTTTCCCCCCTCGCTGCTGGTTGATGTTTGTCCTACTTTCCTCATTGCTAGGCAACCATCCTGGGTTCACCACTCCCAGCCCAGCTTGGAGGTAGAGAACAAAGGCAAGGGGAATACAGAGAACAGCAGGGTGACAGGAGGGACTGTGGGCTGAAGAACCAGGGGAGAGGAGAAAAGCAGGCAAAAGGAAGGTGTGGCAGTGCTGATGGCAGGAGGGCACATTTATACACTTGGGCTGTTGGACTGTAGGTGAGACCAGGGAAAGGCAGGCAAGAGGGGACAGGCTAGCCGGGAGGCAGCAGTAAAGTGGGGCTTCCCTCCTGCACCCTGGTTATTCCTTTGTCCTGTTGCTTCTTTAGCACTGGATTTTATCCTAATATAATTCCAGCTGGTTTCCACTGCAGCCTAGATCATTCGGGCCTGAAGACCCCACTGTACACCTTCCTAGACTCCCAGGTGTGCACGACTTGGCCCACAGGTTTGTAGCTGCTCTCCCTCCTGTCCCCACCCCACTCACCCATCCCACTCAGGGCTCAGCTACATGCACAGAGGGACTAATGGGATTTCCAAGGAGGCCGCTTATCTTCCTGCCTCAGCCGTTGCGGGACAGTGGAAGAATTATACTGGGGTCACTGGGAGGCCTCTGGAGCCAAACTTCGCACACTATGGGATTTAGAGTAGAGCAGGGAGGAGCCCTTGTTTAACATTTCTGTTTACCAAGGCCCCTACCTGACCTGTCCATGGCCCCCTCCTGGCTCCTTGCCTGTCCCCATTTTATGATGCAGTTTGGGTTTTTATTCTTCTGCTTGTTCTGCTGAGGAGACACAGCTCCCAGGACAACGTCACTAGCTATGTTGTGCACACACAGAGCTCCTCAGAAAAGGCCTCCCCACTCAGCACACCAAAGCACAACCTGGACAGGAACTCAGTCCAGCAGGGGCTCAAGGGAACCTGGAGGCTCACAAATTATGACAGCACCAAACTTGCATGCCAGGAAAACTGTCCAGGTACTGTGGAAAGACACAAATGAAGAGAATGGAATTTACCTGGAGGGCTGGGGTATGTAGCTCAGCAGTAGAGCATTTTCCCAGTCACTAGGTTGGATCTCCAGCACCCAAAAAGAAAAAATAATCTAGGAGGAAGCAATAAAGGAAGACACTAGGAAAGGAAAAGCTGTAAGAGAATCCCATACGCGTAGTGGCAGCTTTGCTAATGTGTGCACTGGGCTCAATGCAGTCACTGGCTGGTGGTTTCTTGGGGGCCTTTGCTATGAAGTCTAGGGAGCTGTGCTCAGGCCAAGTGCCCGTGCATGGCAGGTGTGCTTGCGTACTTGCGTACGTGATCTCATCGTCATCTGCTCCACAGATTTGCAGTGTAGGTTTATCAATTCCCAGAGAATACTGGCTC